AAGCGAGGGGAGACCCGACCTCGGCTTGCGTGTGCACGGGTGGCTTCCAGGCGGCATCTTCACCTCCACCACGTGGCGCGCCACCCGTCCTGGGTAAGAGGCTCTCGTCCTGTGCCGGGTGAGCAGGATCCGCACCCTGACAAGCTTCCGGCTTAATGAGTATCATGACCACTTATTAATGGCTGTCAGCGGTGTCGGATAGACCCAGAGGAGAAAAGCCAGTGCCGCCCCGCTGCCCCTGCTGGGCGCCGGGAGAGGCCAAGGCAAGCCAGGGTGGTACTCCCACCCCTCGCAGGCCAGCACGCCCTGCTGGTCCTCAGATGCACGGAGCAATGGCACCTGGTGCGGTGAACACAGCCAGGGGTGTTTCAGGCTGAGGGCAGTGGCAGAAGTGAGTTCAAAGGTGAAGGGAGAGCACCAGCGGAGGGATGACTCAGGCCAGCGAGGATTTGGGACATCACATCCTCCCGTTTCCATGACGCTGTGGCGGCCTGACGGTTGGCACAGCCCTCGGGCTGGTCTTCCTTGCCCATGCCAGTCAGCAGTGGCTCGTACTAAGAGTGCCACTGCAAGCGCTGGGCTGCTGGCAAGGAAGTGTCAAGGGCGGAAGAGCTCGAGGCGAGGGCAGGGCAGTGCCCGAGAACGGCTTAGGGGACACAGGCTGCAGGATCCTGCCATCATTCTGCTCCAGAAAACCCAACCCGGAGCCTCCAGCCCTTCCAGGAAGCAAGGGCGCCCGCCCACCGACACACACAACGGCTCTGGACAACAGGGAGAGTCACAGACCAAAGCAATACACGCAAACTCTAATGTAAACATTTATTTAAAAAATACTACAGAGGAGAGATGTGGATTCAAAAAAGAGTCATATACAGAAACAAAATGTACTGGACCAAACGACGAGAGAGAGAACCCATAGGCATGGAGAGGGAGGGAGTGGAACACTATTTACATGTCATTTATAAAAGAGCGAGTCTACAAGAGTGTAATACCAAATATAAATGCAAACTATAGTGGCACGTCACGTGGAGGAAGAGGAGGCGGGTGCCTCACGGAAACAGGAGGCGAGGGGCCTGGTGGGTGGGTTTGCTGTCTGCAAGGCCGCTGGCGGTGTGCTAGCCTCCCTCAGTCCTGACAGCGTCTGAGGGGGCGAAGAGGTGATGCGCTGTGAGAACAGTATCAAACGATCCGGAGGAATAAAACAGTCTAGGTGACTAGTGTAAAACAGGGCCTGTGTGAGGTCACGGGTGAAGGTGTGAGGAGCAGAAGGTGGGCTTCTCCTGGTTCCTCCAGGGGTTGCTTCTGGCTGGAGTAAGACCCACTCCTCAGGAGCTGCTCCGGGTCACGGTCAAGGAGAGCCTGGTCCTGGGCAGCCCAGGGGAGGTGCCGGCACACCTGCTCTCGAGACACTCTCTAGGGCGCCGTTTCCGGTGGCTTCCTTCCTCCCTGGCTACGTGCTGCTCGTGGTCATTAAGAAAGACATTTGCCCAGGAGGGCGCAGCCCACACTCCTGGGCTTTGTGGCCGGTCCTCTCCTCCTGTCTTTGCGGTGTCCACGTCTGCACCGGCTGTGCTGAGAGCAGAGCTGTGAAATGCTTCAAGAACTCCAGAAAACTGAAGACTGGCTTGTCACAAAGGAGGAAGTCCTGCAAGAATCTACTTTGTCTTAGGGGAGTACAAGGGAGGGAATGGAGATCAGTCAGAAATCAAGGTCAAGTGCCTTTTTCGGGCACCTGCAAGTTCAAAAGGAAGGTAACACTGGGCCACTGAAGACCAGCCTAGGCCGGGGCCAGGGCCAGGGCCAGCTCAGCACCAGTGTTCACACAACAAGCCGCCCCTCTGCCCTGCCCCTGCCCTGCATGCTGGACGGCGACCTGCTCCCCTTCAGCCTCGGGCTTTCCATCCAGAACGGGCAGTGCGTGTCAGAGAGCTGGGACTGGGCTCGAGGACACGCAGCAGGATGACAGGACAGTCCCCTCCTTCCTGCGACCCAAGGCTGGCTGTTAGCACCTGCTGTGCCCAAGTAAGAGCTGTCCTTCACGTGAGGAAGTGGTGAGGGCCCAGCCCCGGCAGCAGCGGAGGCCGAGTGACCGCTGGCAGAGCTCCCCAGGATGCAGTGCTGTAGACGGGTCTTAAGCACAAGAGGTACGAGGAGGAGGAGGGTGCAGGCTCCCTCCACCAGTGAGTGAAGGCAACAGTTCCAAGGCCTGGAGACAGAGCTCCCGTTCTTTTTGGGGAAAAGGGAGGCGAAGGCATAGCCAGAGGAAATCCCCCAGAAAGAAGAGAGAGAGGAAGCGCTCACCCACCTTCACAGCTGGCCTGAGGGCAGTCCCGCAGCCCGTGGGGAAGGGCTGGCGTGCCGACTGCAGTCCACCAGGCGGGAACCCACAGACAGAACTCGGACAGAGGCTCAGCGAGCGGCTGAGGAGGAGGAAGTGCAGGACAGTGGGTGCACAACGTAGGTAGTAGGGCGGTACTCCATGGTGGCCCTCCGCTCCCGGGCCAAGGTCCCAGCTCGCAGGTCCTGTGTCAGCCACCGCCACGGGCCCGGGAGCCCTCACCCACTGCAGGCGGCTCTGGCTGGCCTGATGCCGGCTTCTGCTACCTCTGTACGATGTCACTGATCTCTTTCACGGAGCTGAGGAGCTTGCTGAAGTCCTGAGTGGCCGCTGGGCCACTCCCTGCGGTCGCCGGGCAGATCTGTAGCTCCCGGAGGTTGTTCTCCAGTTTGTTGATGGCCTCGCGGAAAGCGAACTTGTTCCTCATCTGCTGGATGGAGTCCACATAGCTCACGCAGAACGTGTAGAGGTTTTTGCCGGCTTCCAGCACGGCGCTGTGGCTGGCCATCTGCTCGGAGTTCTTGGAGATGGCACGGCACAGGGCCTCGGTGCTGTCCAGGACCACGCCCTTGGTGACGGTGCCGCTGGTGATGCGCTCGGGAGGCTGGCGGGTTTTCCGAAGGGACACGCGGGTCGATATGAGCGGGATGAAGGCGGTGGAGGACAGCTGGTCCCCTGCCAGGGCGGAGGACGCTGCCGGCAGAGTGGAGGGAGTGGGGCCCGGGCTGGTCGGGGTCGCCGCCGGCTTGGAGGAGGACTGGGGCTTTGGCACGGACAGGAGCACGGGCTTCTTGACGCCCTCTCCCGGCTGGCTGGCTCTGGCAGCGTCACTGTTTACGGCATCCACAACCACAGCCGTGGCCTTCGCTTTCCCGCTGGCGCCTGCCTCCGCGGCTGCTTCCTGGCTCGGGCTCGGAGCGGGCCTCCCGGCTTTCCCAGCAGAAGCTGGCAGGGGGGGCGGCGGGGCAGGCTTGAGCTTGGACAGCCTCCCTTTGTCTCTCCCCGGGGACTCGGAGGAGGGCTTGTGCCTCCTCATCCGAGATTCCTCAGCGGGGGCCCTGCTGGTCCCTCCCGATGCTCCTGGTCCCGCTCGGCTGGCGGCGGGCGCTGGCTCGGCGGCGGCAGATGTCCCCGAGGGGCCAGACTTCCCGGCCTCCTCCTTGTGGGCCAAACCAGAGGAAGGAGCCACCGCCACCTGCCTGCGGAGCAGCTTTGGAGTCAGACTGGGAGGGCTGGAGCCCGGGCTGGACTCCGCCGTGTCTTTGAAAACCTCATCGGCCAGCTCCTCCATCTTCTTCACCAGCCTTGGCGGGGGCGTCACCGTGCCTCTGCTCACCTGGTCAGACCTGGTCTCACTCGCCCGCTTGCGAGGCAGAGCTGGCTTCTCGCTTTTGTGCCCTCCAAACGTGGACGAGTCAAACTGTCTCCCCGTGGACTGCAGGTCCCGGGGCAGCGTGACTGACCTCCACTCTGTGTCCTTGGCCCCGTGGGGCACGCAGGAGGCAGAGCAGGACCTCAGGAAGCGCTTGCTGGCGCTGCTGCCGCTCTCCTCTTCGCTGGCTGCTAACCGGCTGCTGGTCAGCGTGCTGGCCTTCCACACGTGGGGAGACCGGAAGCCGCCTGACTCCCGGAAGGCTCCGTTGGGGATGCCAGCCCCGCTGCTAGGCTTCGGGGACTTGGCGGGCTCGGCTGCGTCTGAGGGGGGGAGAGCAGGCGCCCCGTTACTGACTTCGCGGCCCTCCTCCTCCCCGGCCCCCCTGCGCTCCGGCTGGCCGTCCATCTCCCGGAAGGAGCTGCTGCGCTTGGGAGGGGCAGGCGCCGTCTTCTTCTTCTTCTTGATCAGGGCGCTGAACAGGTTGGTCTTCTTGTCTTTGGGGAGAAGGCGCTCATCTTCATTCAGGCAGCCGTCCTGGGGGCCTCGTTCTTTCCGAGGGAGCAGTGGAGACACAGCGGGCTCGTGGTCCAGGGGATCTGAAACACAGGGGGAAGGGTCACCAAGTCCGAGCTAGACTCCGAGGGGGCAAGGAACCCCGAGCTAGCCTCCTACTCTGGGCTCTGGGCTCGGAAAGGCCTAGGAAGTTATTTCTTTTTGCTCCTCCTCAGCTTTCTCATCTGTGGGACAGAGGCTATGCCTGGCTGGCACTTTCAGTGGTTAGAGCATTAGCCTGCGCACAGAAGTGTTGCAGGCTTGATTCTGGTCAAGGGCACGTACCTGGGTTGCAGGTTTGATCCCTGGCCCAAGTCAGGGTGCATGTGGGAGGCAACCAATTGATGTGTCTCTCTCATATAGATGTTTCTCTTTCCCTCTTCCTTTCCTCTCTCTTTAGAATAAAAACACTAAACAAACAAACAAACAAAAACAAAAATCCACCAAAAACGACACACAAAAAACTTGGGAATCAGGTTTCTACAGGTCCTGCTGTGGCAAAGCATCCCGTATGGCCAGCCTGCCCAGTACCTTCCCACTTAGTCTGTGACCATAAGAGACCCTTACAAACCAGAGGCTAGCCCACCGGCACTTCTGTCCCGCTGGGCTGCAGGTTGGGGGACAGGGGGACAACTGCTACATCAGAGCAGCCTGGCTCCAAATAGAGCCTGGCACACAGGAGGCACCAGATCAGCCCCTGAAAATACTGAGAATCCTCCTGAACCACTCCATCTCACTCTCGCTTCTCAGAGTCCAGACAGGACGCACGTTCTGGGCCACAGCTGTGAGTGACACGTGAAAAGGCGGGCTTCTCCCTCAGGTTTCACAGCACCTCTGCCTGTGTGACTGCCCTGACTGCTGATGGCTCACGGGGTGGGGTAGGTGTGCTTCGGGAGAGGAGAGCCTGCCTTTAAAGCCAGGTTACTGACACGGGATTGCCTGCCCTTCTGTGCAGGCTCGCTCACTGCATCCCATGTGCCGCTGACCCTGGGCCGCCAGGGGGTGGGAGGGACGACATACCAGGCTCTCCCGGGCCCTTGGAGTGGGGCGTCTCAGGCAGGTCGGTGAAGTCCTTGTGCTCCGTGGCTCTCCTGGAGGTCCTTGTCTTGGTGGGCAGCTCTGGGGCCTGTAGCAGAGTACCTGCAACCCCTCGCATGCCTTTTTTCCCCAGTTCCTTTTCCACTTCTAAGAACCACAAAAAAAAAAAACAACACACACACACACACAAACCAGCAGCCATTAGTATGGGTCACTTCTGGTGTGTTGGTTTTCTTTTTCTTTTTAAAGTAACAGTGTCATCTACACACATTTACAGAAAAGACATAAAAATAAAGAAACAGTAGTTTCAGAGTTCTGCATGGCTACGAAGGACAGCGCTCCACACTCAACACTTCCGTCCTGCTTTCTGCTCTCAGAGAACTTGCTGGCCCCCGCACTTCTCCCTGGGAGTGAACTAGAGGACCAGGGCTGGAGTCCCCTACACCCCTCCCTCCGACCCCAACCTTTCACCCGTGGCAGGCAGGCACCCCGAGGTCGGGCACATTACCATCGGATATGCTGGACTCCTGAAACATGGTCTCAAAGGCTTGGTGGATTTCAGCAAAGGAGGGCCGGTCAGAGGGATTCCATTGCCAACCTGGACAGATGAGACCGAGTCAGACCTCCCAGGAGGCCTTGCTAACGATAACAAGTGTGTGGCTAGCAATTCTCCAGGAAAAGTCTAGAATTGAAAGAAGCATTCCACTCCTGCTACCCACCTTTCGGTGTGACAAGTTAGTGATGAAGGCCAGTGGGTCCTATCAGGCATTAAGAATTTAAAAAGACTGTAGAACCTGGCAGCATATGGATTCCAAAATCCCAGGGAGATGTTGACAGTGGAACTGCATTCACAAACATTTTTCTCCCAACCCCAGTCTAGCAAGGGCACAGAATGACCAAACCAAACAGGCCGCCTTCTACTTTACCTTACTCCACATTATCAAAGCCAAACGCTCATTAGTGAAGACATGCTAGTCAACAAGGTTAAAATGATGAAGGACCGATCAGGGTGAGGATGCAGACTCACTTACACACACTTCTGGTGGGAGTATAAGTTGGTACAACTTTTTTTGAAAAACAATTTGGCAAAATCTATTAAAACTTAAAATGCACACGGCTCTCTGAGCCAACAGTTCAATGATTAGCAAAACCAGTGCAAAGCAGAGGTGTGTGCGGGAGTGCTCACTCCCGCCTTGCTTATGGCAAAATCCCAAACAAATGTCCATGAAAAGAGGATGAAAAGTCCCCAATGGGATGCCAAACAGCTAGATAAAATTAAGAGGGGGGAGGAGGAGAGGAGGGACATCTCCAAGTTATGAACGTGGAAAGATTTGTTACACTGCTAAGTGCAAAGAATGCTGCAGGAATGGTTTTATATGTATAATAAAACCATCCAGGTAAATGTCCCCTGGAGTGGCTACCTACTACAGCAGCTGTGTGAAGGTAGCCCAGGAGTTGGTATTTATTGAAAAGAAATCCAAGTTTGGTATGCATCAATCCCAATTTTGTATTAAGAACAAAAAACCCTCACACATAAAGGGATAGAGAAAAACTGGAAAGAAAAAAAAGTCTGCCAAAATATGTCTCCAGTTAGTTCATTCACTGCTTTACACACGCACTCCCGCAGTGGCATGCTTCACAAAGCCCACATCGGTGTTTAGAACGGGCAGGGGAGGCTCACATGCTCGCATGAGTTCGTAGACCTTCTCGGGGCAGCCTTCTGGGCGCTCCATGCGGTAGTCTTTCTCCAGCAGCTCGTACACCTGGGACAGGTCAATGCCCGGGTAGGGCGACATGCCGTAGGTAGCGATCTCCCACAGCAGTACTCCGAATGCTAGGGAAGGAGGAGAACGGTTACTTGAAACGTGCAGAATTTTTAAGTATTCTACATTTACAATTGGTTACCTGTGTAGAAGACAGAAGCTACACCTTCAGAAACAGGCCAGGCACTGACAGTTTACCAGGCTCTTTACTACTAACTGCCCAGGACAGAATGAAGCTCTCCATTCACTCACCCCCAGACCAGAACGCGCTGAAGGAGCAGAGGGCCGCGCAGATGAGCCCTCCAGGGCCTTGGAGGTAACGTGACCACCTTGTAGGGATATGTGTGGAGGGAGCTAGGACTAGTGGTCAGGAAACATTCCCACTCCTAGCTCTGTGACCACTAGCTCTGTGCTTAAGACAGGCCCCTCTTCTTTCTGGAGTATGAGGTATCTCTAAGGTCCCCTCCAACGCTTCACAAGAACCTTACACAATCTTTACCCAGCCAGCATGGCTCAGTGGTTGAATTGACCTATGAACCAGGAGGTCAAGGTTCGAATCCCGATCAGGGCACATGCCCAGGTTATGGGCTTGATCCCTCATGTGAGGCACGCGGGAGGCAGCTGATCAGCAATTCTCTCTCATCATTGAGGTTTCTATCTTCCTCTCCCTCTTCCTTCCTCTCTGAAATCAATAAAAATATTTCAAAATCTTTGAAAGTTTTGCAGGCCCTGAGTACAGCCTTGACATTCCCAATCTCATTAAAGGAAGCAGAACTGACTCCTCCCTAGAGAAATGGGTGGCTCAGGTGTAGGGCAGAGAATAAAGTGGAAACATCACAGGCGATATTGAAAGGGTCTTGTCAAAGGGACTAGGAGCAATGTGAAGTTCCTACCAGCCAAAGATGAGACAGCCTGAGCATCAATAAGGAAAGTAACTGTAAACCCACAACCCAGGTTCTTGCCCTGACCAGGAATCAAACCTCAGACCTTTAGTGCACAGGCCAACGCTCTAACCACTGAGGAACACTGGCCAGGGAAAAAAGTATGACTTGTATGATTTAATGGGAAGGTTGTACACTAACAGAATATTTAATAATATTTGGAAATTATTGTCTATTTTTGGAGGAGGACACTGTAGTTATGAGAATGAAAATGCTATCTTTAAGAGGCTCATACTGAAATACTTATGGACAAAGTAATATGATACCTGGAATTTGCTTCAAAATAAGAGTCGGTGGAGTGGGTGGGGCACAGAGGATGCAAGAGCGCCATGAGGTGTGACCAGTAAATTGGGGATGGGGGCACGGGCGCTCATTAGGCACCTCTGTCTTCTTTAGGGTGTGCTTGCAACTGCCACGGGAGTTCTTTAAAAAGTGAAAACACAATGCTGTCACCTGAGGCTTCAGAGGTAAGAGCCTCCGGAAAGCCCCAGCCAAGCCACAGAGCACTCCCCGCAGGGCTGGCTGGGTGCCCCAAAACGAAGCAGCAGACTTCGAACGAAGATAAAGGGTAAGTTAACCTCAATTATTTTAGAAGAAAAAACTCATTTTTACTTCATTTTGAAGAGAGAATAGGGAAAAAAAAGACTTTCAAATGAAAAAGAAGCAAAAAAGAGAATTAAATAATGGGGGGAGGGGCAAATGAGCAAGAAAGAGGCAGTGAGAAAGCAAGAGGGAAAAAACCAATAAAAACAGGAAAGAAGCCCCCCTGGGCGGGCAAGCAGGGGGCTGGGGACGCTGGGGCCTTACCCCAGACGTCGGACTTGATGGAGAACTTGTTGTAGGCCAGGCTCTCGGGCGCCGTCCACTTGATGGGGAATTTGGCCCCGGCGTGGGCTGTGTACGTGTCCCCGGTCATCAGCCGGCTCAGGCCGAAATCGGCCACCTTCACCAAGTGGTTCTCCCCTACCAGGCAGTTTCGGGCAGCAAGGTCTCTGCGAAAGGAATGGTTCACCATGAGAGGTCCCAGCTGGCTTTCCAGCCTCACAAATCCACCACCGACAACGGAAAAAGGGAGTCAGGACCCCGGGAGACTCATATTAACTCCCACCAGGGAGCAGAGCCGGCCCTCAGCACCACCTGGGCTCCCAACATGGAGAGGCAGCGGGGGCGCTGGAGGGGCCCGGGCCCCGGGACCAGGAGCACGGTCTTACTGGACTCAGCTATCACATTCACAAATGGCAAGGATAATCACAGCGCCTACTTCTGAGGGTCGTGGTGGTAGTTCATTCTATGGGAAGTGCTTCAACCGGTGCCTAGAGAACAGTAAGTGTTACCTGTCTGTCTGGTTGTCACTGCCCTCTGCCAGGAAGAAAAGCATAGGCCAGTTCCCGAGAAACTCACACAGAGCGAGTCTCCGCCTGCACTGCCCAGACTTGGTGGACAGAGTAAAATGAAGCCCATGATTCCCTTTGCCCGGACCGTTCCCTACTTTCCCCTTTCTTCCTGATGCTTCCAAATGGATCCTGAAACTTCCCTCCATCTAATCACTTCCTCTTGCCTCCTGATTCTGCCAGGGAGTAGGAATCTAATCTTGGTTCAAGGACATTAGCCATGAAATCACAAGGCAAACAGGAATGGAGCAATGAGCCGAGGCAGCAGCTAAAGCCATGGCTGCATAGGACAGCTCCATCAGAGGGAAATGAAACACAGAGGAGCTGTGCCTTGCAGGGTTTTGGTAACGGCTTCTAAGTCTGCTTGAATGAAGAGGGAACGGCCCTTGCTGTGCAAGGCAAACCAGTCAGGAAATCTCAATTTGCAGCCTCAGAGGGTTCATTTTGAGTGACAGGCGCATGTGAATCGGGTCTCCTGGAGCATAGCAAATCTGTCGTACAAGGAGCGCAGCGCTTCACACATGCTACCCTGTTCCTCACTGTGAGATCGCCCGTGCAGGTCTCATCCTCCAGTTAATTGGGTGGGAAAGGTCACCACGTGGTGTGGAGAGCATCCTGCATAAAAGACTCCGGCAAAGCCCGTCAGGCTCTGTCCGGCACTGCCTGTCTCTTTGCTAGGGAGCCATTTCCACCACCAAAGAATGCGAGGACCAAGGTAATTGCGGCACACTTGAAGGTCAAAACACTCCAGGCTTTAAAACAGCAAAGGCGCTTCTTTTAGAAGCACAGGCACACAATTCTGACAATTGTGGGAACATCGCTGACCCAGATGACAGCAACTTAAGTGGAGAATCAAGTGATAATGAGGAGACGGGAGGGGGGAACCACCCCACGCAGAAACAAAACCCGCGCGCTGGCCATTACCGCAAACGTGTGTAAAAGCAACGCCCACTGCCCAGGAGCAGGTCATAGGACGCACGCGGGCTGGAGGAACAACAAGCCTCCACTTCAGAGGGAGCCGTGGTTCCGTGGAAGGACGCCTTTTATGAACCATTTAATATTCTATTTAGTTCCAACCAAATGGTGCCGAAGGGAGTGTTTCTTAGGCCTGGCCTTCCGCACACCGAAGCGGCAGAGTCAGGACTCAGTGCTCGCCTTTGTTTCAGGGCTACTGTGCTGCCGGCACTCCCCTTAGAGGCTGGGCCAGCGGCCCGAGGCTGGGCTTTTCCCAAAGGATGCCCAGCCCCGCTCGCTCCCTGGCGGTGTGGGGGCTGTGCGGCCAGTCCTACCTGTGGATGAAGTTCTTCTTCTCCAGGTACTCCATGGCTGAGGAGATCTGAGTGGCCATGTACAGCAGCACCACAGCGTTCACCTCCTGCCGGTTACACTCTCTCAGGTAATCCAGCAGGTTCCCATAGGTCATGAACTCAGTGATTATGTAGAACGGGGGCTCCCGGGTGCAGACCCCTGCCAACGAGACATGGAGGGCTTCAGGATGCTGCTCTACTCCCAACGGAACGGGTGTCAGAGAGGACTGGCTCTGAGGGAAAAGGCTTCCGAAACAAACGCTAACTCTGCTCCCACTTCTAGTATGGCTCCGAGCACTGTGACTGAGCCTGTGCTCCTGCGGGAGGGGCACGCTCCTGCTCCTGTCTTCCTCTCAGGCCTCACAGGAGAGGCTGTCAGTGGGTTCAGAAGCAAAGGCCAGGCCCACGTCAAACGGCCTAAAAACCATTGTTAGTTTACCTCAGAGGTTATGCCTGATGGCTAAGTCTGCTTACAGAATCACTTCAGTGAAGGAACATTAAAAATTCTTAAGTTTGCCACACTAGTGTGGCTCAGTGGTTAGGTGTCAACCCATGAACCCTGAGGTCACAGTTTGATTTCAGGTCAGGGCACATGCCCGGGTTTCAGGCTAGATCCCCAACAGGGGGCATGCAGGAGGCATGACAGAATCATCATTACGGATGATTCTCTCTCTCTCTCTCTCTCTTTTTCTCTTCCTCTCTCCCTCCCTCCCTCCCTCCCTCCCTCCTTCTCTCTCTCTCTCCTTTTCCTCCTCCTCCATTCCTCTCTGAAACCAATAAAAATATACTTCAAAAAAAATTCTTAAATTTCAAAAGCCGATTTGAGACTTGAGAGCTCTCAGGTGTCAATTTAAAGTAGTAACATTCTCTCCCTCACAAACCCCCCCAACACACACAACCCCACCGAGGCCTCCTTTACCGACGGCCGAGTGCCGGTGGGGAACTCGGCCAGCCGTCCCCTCTGCCCTAACGCACCTGCGCCCCGAGGGCTCGCTGACACTCACCAAGTAACTGGACCAGGTTGGGGTGCTTGATCTCTTTCATCACGGCGGCCTCTTTCAAGAACTCCTCCACCTCCATGGTGTCCTCCTGCGGGGAAAAAGTGGTGAAATTCTTTCAGCAAGGAGCGTGCCTGAGTGGGAAAGTGCGACATGAATGGTCAGTACGAGCTGGAGCTTCAATGAACAATCCTCTGGCCAACCAGTTCCACCACACTGCTCTGGACAGTTTTGTCACCGCTGCTGACCCCCTCACAGCACCAGGAAGTCCCCGCTGGGGCTGAGCGTTCGGATTCCCCCAGGGCAACACATCTGGGCGGCCTGTGTATGCGGGTGACTTGCTTCTGGTGGCACAGACCATATTGGTTTCCATCACCTTGTGGAGTTGGGGGGGAGATGTGTGCAGGCAAATGCCAAAAACATGGTACTAGTTCTCTAAGCAACAGCGAGGTTTCACGGGGTCCTAAAAAGCATAATGTAAAAAAAAAAAAAGAATCTGAAATATGCCCTTGATTTAAGAGAAGAGACCTGGATGATACAAAAGATACTGGATTGCCAAAGAAGAACAATATCTCAAAACACGATAGGAACAGAGCATGCGACACTAAAGAATGTGGTGTCACGGCTCTTAACGAAGCAGTCACCGCTCCGCCAGGTCCATTGCTCAGATTCTAAAGCATCCTCAGGGCATCGAGTTTGCAGCACCCGGATGCCGAGGGGAGACAGAGATATCAGCAAGGGCCCAGAGCAAGAGTGAGGGACACTGCATTTCCTCACATATTCTGAGTCTAGGTCAGCGATTTTCAGCCCGTGTGCTGCAGGAATTCTTAACACGTGCAAGACTGACTGTTTAGTCAAGGGCACAGACCTCTTTTCCCTTAGTCAAATAAAGAAATGACAACAACCAATACAAAAATAGCTGCCTGGTGTGAATGAATCAAAATTATACCTTTTTTTGGGTCAGACTGGCAGAAACATAAGCTTTTGGTGTGCTGAATTCAGTAATGAGTTTACGGGTGAGATGAAAAGGGCCGAAATCACTGCTCTGGGCTCCTGTGGTAGACCCTATTGTACAAGAGCCTTGTTGGGCTTCTGTTGGGTAACCCTCTTTCTGACTTAAAGAACCCCCTGTCCACACCACAGGAAGCAGTGGTGATAAATGACGTGGCCTGTTTGCTGTGAGAACCTGGCTATGATGGCCAATGCCGCCACCTCCAGGTTTCAACATGGACTCTGAGTTTTACTGAGAGAAAGAGTGCATGGAGATGGGTGGTTCCTCCCGCCCCTTTGGGAGACGAAGATCTGACCGCCTCCTCGCCTGACGGCACCATTCCTCAGGGAAGACGTGCAGAGGGCGGCCAGCCTCTCTCAGCGCTTCCGTGCCTACAAGTGAAGCATGACCAATGGGTTATGTGTCAGCCATTATCACTGCTTAGTTAGGGCTCTGCGAGACTGAAACTCTGAACAATTTACTGCTCTTTAAAAATGGCGAGCTGCTCTAAATGCCAATTAAACAGCCGGTAGTCTCTGTGTCTCCTCCCTGCTGCCACCCCATTAGCTGCTTAATTCTTCCGAGTCCCCTCTACTCCTAACACGCTCAGCCGGCCGTGCCGTTTGGGGCGGGAAGTGCCCTGATTGACCAGCTGACATGCTAATGCCAGAGAGCCGACGCCTGCCAGAGCCGGAGACTCACTGCTGCTCGTGTAGGACCAGGAGCTGTAAGAATCTTGCTTGGCCAGCAATATGTTCAAAAAGTCGCTCTCCCATGAAGTTTTCTAGACACGCGGAGTCATTTTATTTTAAAGCGCATGTACAGCGAAACAATTTCAGGAACATCCCGTGCTCTTACAGCTACTGGATCTTCTCTAAAAGAGCCGTGTCCTCAGGCCTGGCCATGCACAAAAGAACACAACCTTCAAGGCACCCGCCTCTCTCTGTCTGCCTCTCTCTCTCCCTTCATTCGAGCACATGCTTGCACCTGCGGAAACAGTGCAAATAAACCCTTTGAGGAGGGTCAGTGTGGACTGTCTCCCTCTGCTGGAATCAGACCTGGTTCAGCTGACAATGGGAACTGCTGACAGCATCCTGCCCATCGCTGTCCCTGATGCCCTCCTGCTACATTTACATTCCTTCAATTCTATTTAAAAACTTCCCACCACGTTTCTGAAGAGAATTCTTCCATTTACATAGTAAAATAAAATTTGCTCAGATTAATTAGGGTGAAGACAATACTGAGTAAAAGTGTGAATTCCAGGCTGATCCGTTAGGGCGGGGATGGGTCGCCTGGCCTCTCTTCACAAGGACTGGCTGGCCCCGCCCAGGTGCGGGGAGCTTTTGGCTGGCACGGCCGAGAGGCTAAGGGACGGCTGGTGAGTTCTGCTGACCCGGCTCTGCCACTGTGGACCCGGGTACGTGGCTCACAGAAGAGATAGCACAGAGGCCCTCAAGAGCCGCCGCGCTCCCATCCACGGGAGGAAGAGCAGTGTGCCCGTGCAGAGTGCAGCGCCCCGCCATGTCAGCACTCCGCCAGCGGCACGCTAATGACTGTGAGGACAGCTGGTCTCTTCCCCTGAGCAGCAGGCGGGACACACTGCTGCATCTAAGATAGGCTGGCTCCTTAGCACTGTTTCTGCCTTTCTCACAGATACATCTCCCAGACTCCACACCTCCCAGGAATGTTCTAGCAGCTTCCTCTGTGTGCTCAGGGCGCACCTCCAGGAGTCCGTATTCTACGTCATAAAGACAACTCCACGTCCTGGGGCCGCACAGCTTTCAGGCCCCACTGCCGCCCGGGGGGGCCCAGGCCTGGGCCAGGGCTCCTGTCTGAGATCAGTTCCCACGTGTTTCAGGTTGTTAGGTGAGCAGGGCTACAACCACAGGGCAGTGCCATCCTCCGGGTGCTCGGCCCTCGTGAAGCCAGCGAGCCCGCGAGGACTGTGCCCGGCCAGTGCTGCCCTGGAGCCCTGCCTCCCGCTCACAGCTGCAGCTTCCAACAAAACCAATTCCTGGGGAAATGACAAACGTGAAAGCCAGCACACTGAGCGGGAGGGGACATGAGCAGGCACTTGCTCACACTGCTGGCAGAGTGCAATGGCGGGCTCCTTGGGGGCACTTGGGGGCAGGGTCACAGCCACAAATGCCCGTGGCCCGTGGTCCAGTAGTTCTACTCGAGCTGACCCAACAGGCCACTCCGCCCATGTGCCAGCAAGGAGCGGCCCGCGGCCCTGCTTGTAGCAGCCAAGTATGGGGAAGAATACAAATGTCCGAGGAGGCTGGTACATCCTCAAATACTGCCACACACAGTGAGACAGCCTGACGTGCACAAGGAACAACCGTCAAGTTACGTGAAGTGGACACAGAAGCATGGAGCAGTGTCGATGGCATGCTGCCACACGGTTAAAAGTAATGCACACACGGACTATTTCTGGAAAGACACAAAAATCAAGGAGGAGGCTGTGCACATCTTACCTGTTCGAAATAGGTAAAGAACTGGGTACAATTTTAAACCAACATATAGCAACATTATGTTCCACTATTTTAATGGTAAATTTGTTAGCTTATGATTCAATCATAACACCCCAACTAGACTAACAGTAATCTTTTCTAAATCCTATAATTTACACAACTATTTCAAAGGAAAAAACTGACTTTTACAAACTAAGTTGGAACACAGCTCAGGTGAAACTTGGGGCTTTTTGCAGTGACAATTGGTTCTCTTAGGCACATCCTGCCATTAGCAAGGGTCCAGGCAAGCCTATATCCTGCTGAATATTGTCCACATTCAAACTAGAGGCTCCCCATCAGGAGGCCTTGGCTGTATTTGCAGTTTCCCATCCATAGGGGTCAGCTTAGCGCCTCCTTTTTTCCTCCAGTTTTCTTTGGTCCTCCTTATGCCCTGGAGGTGTAGGAGCCAAGGCCGCCTGGGGGTTCAGTGAGGAGTCACGGTTAAATTAGGGCCTGGCTCCCCCTGCTGGTTCTGCCTGTGAGGGGCCAACCATACACATCTGGCAGGACAGGGATGAGGGAAGAGACTGACTTGGGGGCTCACTGGGGCCTGGCACAGAGACGCTGAGTTTGGAGGACCACCTGGCTTAGAGCTGCAAGGTTTTCCGGGATCTTGAAGAGAAAGGCAGATCGTGGCTACCGTCAGTGAGGGAAGTGAGTGGGGAGGGGGAAAGGTGATTTTAAAGGTGCATAACCGTGGTCTGTGTGTATTTTATGGTGGGTGGGGAATAAGAGCCTGAGTGACAGCATAACAATAATTGGGCTTGGAAGCAGGATGTCTGGGTTTGAGCCTGGCTCTGCCACTCCAGCCTGTAGAGCTCCAGGCCAGTGACTTCACCTCCCTCTGCTTCCACTTTTTCAATGTTAAGTGGGGGAAATACACTACTCTTTCCTTAACGCTCTTCTAAGGTTTCACTGAGATGCCACATGCAAGGCACCCGGAACTCTTCCAGGCACGTGGCAGGAGCTCATAAACACCAGCCATTACTGTCACTGAGAGCCCACTCAAATCCTCAGCTCTACAGTGGGGATAAATGCTCCAAGTACGGACACTAATCCTATCAGATGAGTGGGAGCATGGAGAGGTCTTACACAGTGTGAGGGAGAGGGGGATCATTTATTTAGAAGTCGCTTAGGTGTTTTGGGTTAACATCCCTCAAGATGATGCCTTTTCCTTTCCCCAAATGGCTACCATTTGGGGTGACTGCTCACAGAACTCCATGCAACTGGGTCCTCCTGTACCTTGGGACCACAAGTTACTAAGGCTCTTGAGGGGGAATCATTAAAAGCATATAATAAAGTTAAAAGCCCATCAGTAGAGAAGGACATGAAGTCCCTCCTCCGTTGCTCAGAAAACACCACCACAGCACCGGCTTCAAGTCGCACGAGCTCTTTCTCTTTTTACAAGTTTGCACGCACGTCTTGCCTGGATTGAAATCCCGTGTATTTCGTACTTTTAGTCTTCCTTGTTTCTTTCTGCAAATCCTGGCAAACGTGTGGGCGACACCCAGGGTTTTAACAGCCCAGTGTCTCGGGGCCGAGTCCTCAGCCGAGCGCTGAGTGGAGGGGCTGCAGCACAAGCACGCCCTTCCTGTGCCCCCGGTCCGGAAGCGGCAGGGCAGGCGGGTTAGTCCTTTCTGGGGCTCACATGTAGCCTCCCTGTGAAGCACAAACCCTATCAGCACTTCCTGGGCATCAAGCCTTCGAGGGGCCCCGCTGCCTCCAGGACAGCATCCCAGCTCCTCACCCTGGCAGTGCCCTCTCTGCCCTCCATCTGTCTCTCCTGACCTTTGATCCCTTGGCCAGGGCTTGCTCCTCCACTATGGCCCCAGCTCCCGAGTCCCTTCATGCTCCCTCTCACCAAGCAGAGCGCGCTGGGCAGCCCTCCATTCATTCCTGTGAAGTGACATAGCGCCATGCTCATACCTTTGTGGTCCTTGTCACACTCACTACAATTATGAATATATTGCTCATTTCTCCTACTAATTAGACTGCCTACGCCTACTACTAACCAGACCATTCTAACTACCTAGACTAGCCTGAAGTGAAGACCTCTGTCCAATTATTTCACAACCCCAGTGTTAAGTGCAGGGTCTGGCAAACAAAAGTAAGGGACTCATAAATGCTTATTAAATTTTAAAAATCCCATCTGGGAAATACTTAGGAGTCCACAAGGTGACCCCAAACCACACCACCACCACCCGCAACACACACACAAATGTCAGTCTCGCTCCCAGGACAGATCTCAGGAGTCACATTTAATATAGGGCCAGGAAGCTCTTCTGGTTTCTAGGAATACAGAATGTAATCTTTTCTCTAAAGCACATGTGTCAAACACAAGGCCCGCGGGCCAAATCCGTCCCGCCAGGCCTTGCAATGTGGCCCGCACCGCGCTGTCATCACTGCACTCCGCTGCGTTTCCATCACAATGACAGTTTATGACTGTTCAGTAAACCATTCGGCCCGCGATTTAGGCTGGATTTTAGATTTTGGCCCCTTCTCTGATTGAGTTCGACACCCCTACTCTAAAGCGTCCCATTTATTAGGCAGAAATCGTCACTTCCGCCTTCCCGTGCCTGAGGGAGGGTATCAGGAGAGGGATGGAGCCCCTGAAAGGCGAGGCTCAGGCTGCGCGGTCTCGCTGTGGTGTGCACATGGTTGGGTCCGTTTTCTCAGCAGTGGAAGGTTTAGTTCTTTTCCTTTGGCTACAGAAAGGGGCTGACTCGCTGAAACAGGTTTGGCTCACTGGATAGGACGTTGGTCTGTGAAATGAAAGGTCCCAGGTTCGATTCCGGACAAGGGCATGTACATTAGTTGCGGGCACATTCTGGTAGGGGATGTGCAGGAGGCAGCTGATCGATGTTTCTCTCTCATCGAAGTTTCCAGCTCTCTATCCCTCTCCCTTATTCTCTATAAAAAAAATCAATAAAATATATATTTTTTAAATGTTTTAAAAAAAAAAAAAAAGGAGGAAGGAAGGGGCTAACTATCTCGATTTCTGTGCACATGTCCCTTCACATAGTCAGAGTTCATTTAAAATAAGTGAAAATCCTGCCGGCCAACACTAGGGGACACTCTCACCCTAGGTAAAGCGCACATCACATAGGGAAGAAGGCTGCAAATTAAAACTTCCCTCGGCAGCCTAAAGCTTTCAAAGAACTCCAAAAGGAAAACAACCCGCCTAGAAATGCCAGCCAAACACTGAGCATTAGCGGAGAGGATGAAAGTACAGAAAACAAGAAGGAAGGGGCGGAGGGGGTCCGCGTTAGTAGGAAGCCTTCATGTTTCTAATTCCAGAAGCCTGGCCACACAATGGAGAACTGGGACCTGCTAAGAAACAAATGGCACTTGCTTTTCAAAGCTGCCAACAAAAACCCACAGAATGTCAAACACATTTGGGTTAAATCTCCTTTCAAAACTGTAGGTTTTTATTTCCTTCCTTCCTTCCCTTAACGCTCAATAGGAAGTGATTCAAATGCCACACAAACAGAACGGAAACCCACGGCTTTAAAAGACTCTGGCCATAGAATGAAAAAAGCTTCTCCAAATGACTCATCTTTTTACACCAAAAACCGCAGCCCTTCTCAGCCCTCGCCATATGTGGAAACACTGAGATTGGGAGAATGACTCAGTGCACAGAGAAACAGATGACAAGAGACTGAGAGCCAGCTCCTCGGCACCCATGGACCCTCGGCCCTGGGAAGGGGCCTCGGCACGCCCCGCGGACGACGAGCCGCCTCTCACTGAGACGGGCAGCGAGGGGCTCCCCGGGGCTCCCAGCCTGCGGGCCAGGCCTACCTTCAGGGTCTTCACCGCCACCGTGAGGCTGTACTTCTTCCACACGCCTTCGTACACCTCCCCGTACTGGCCGCCACCCAGCTTGTGCTTCATGGTGATGTCGGTGCGCTCCATCTCCCACTTGTCGTAGTTGGGGGACACGCCGTAGACGGTGGGCTTGTTGCGCTTGGGGGCCGGGTAGTGGAGAGTGGTGATGAGCCCGTCTGCCACCGTGGAGTGATGATGGACCAACTCGGCCAAAGTGTTGAAGCGGCTCTCAGAGGAGACGTAGAGCTGAGGAAAGAGCCCACAGAGTAACTACAAACTCAATTCAATGAACCAGCTTTCTGAGCCCGAATGGATGCATAGCAAACCCTCAGGTAAAGGGCTCCCGCCAGGACCAGAGCCACCCAGGCTATCGCTTACCTCTAAAGCAGAAAGAGGCAGTAACATGCCCCCGGGCCTCTGCATCTGCTCCTAAGTGAAGTCCTCCACCTGCCTAACCCTCTCTGGTACGTGCCTGGTTCTCTCGCCATCCTGAGGCCTTCTCTGACCACCCGATCTAAAGCCGGCACCCAGCACTATCACATCCCGTCTTACTCCTCTGCACCGCTCACCACTAACTGATAATTCCGTCTTATCTGCTTGTTGGTTGTCTGTCCCACCTGCTAGAATGTCAGCTACATGAGAGCAAAGCCCTGAAATATCCATTTTTATCCTGTTTCCCAAGTTGAGAACAAGAATGAGCACAAAAATAGGTACTTGATAATAGCTGTTGATTATAGTAGTGAAGGGTAGAACTTTAAAAGTACTGCTTGGGTAGAAAATATTTTAAAACCAGAGGTCCAGTGCACGAATTCATGCACAGGTGGGGTCCGGCCAGCCTGTCCCCCGTGGGCCGATCGATGGGGACCGACTGGGCAGGCTGGCTCGGGGAAGGGACGTGTGAGGTTGGCCAGCTGGCCCCGCCCTCTGGTTGAACTCCTGAACTCTCAGTGGAGGGGACAATCTGCATATTAGCCTTTTACTATATAGGATAAGAATGCTTATTAAAGCCTATCATTATTACTTATAATTATATAATTATCTAGAACTAAACAGTGATCAGAGATGAAAATTACTAAACAAAGCATAAATGTCCTCCTCATTCCTACTTCCTGGATTTGGCCAAGTAAGAAGCATCAGAGACCTAGCCCTGCAAGGCCCAGCAGTGGGTCCCCCGTGGTGTGCTGGTCAGAGCTCTCAGGAAGAGCCAGGCCTCAGGGCTGCACGGGCTTCCCCACCACAGGAAGTCAGGAGCGGCTTTCAGACACCGGTACGTGCGAGCCTCTCTCTGATACGTGCAGCGGTGAGCAGCTGTGCAGGGAGCTGCCCCACCAGGAGTTCTCTTCCAGACACAACAGAGGTGGGGGAGGCAAAGGAAGGAGGCGGAGGGCAACCATGTGGATGGTGACAGCTATCTTTTTTCTTCTCTCCGCTTCAGTGATGTGATGAGGAAATCAATTCCACATTAAAATCCCCACAGAACATGTGGACTCCAGACATATAACTGAGTCTACTGGCTCACGGAGGCCAGCCCACGATCCTGAAGAAGGCAGAAAGAATACTCAAAATCACAACTAGGTCATAAGACTTGCTCAAATTGCAAAGGAGTATAAAGGAGGAATGAAGATTTGGAACAGTGATGATGCCTGGGGCAGGAGAGAGAAAGTCAGCTGTAGCTGTAACATCTTACTACTTAAATGGAGAAAGGGGAAGAAAAAGCCTGAGCACACATGGCAGGGCCAAGGCCTGGCTGTGGTTATGGTAGACTCCATTTCTTTCTGTATGCTGTAACACCAGACAGTTAAAATACTTTAAAGGAAAGAAATACCAAATATACTAGTACAAATTGATCCCTTCTACAATCCTCAACAGAATATTAAATAAGATTCATTAACAAGGAGATTTTCTTTTTTTGCGCTTAGGGAGATAACATAAACGAATTGTTAAAACTAAGGCAAGCCATTGGCATACCTTAGCTTATAGGTTTATAATTTATAATCTTTTGGTAGCAACTCTACAAAGATAAAATTCTGAGCAATTCAGGAATTATCCAGAAAGACTCCCCAGGCCTGGGGAGCTTGTCCCTCTGTGAAGGCAGGACCTGAGAGGGTAAGGAGGCCCACCAGAAGGCCCCATTTTATGCCTGAGAGCGCCTCGAAGTGGCCTTCTCCAAGGACATGCATGTGACACGCTCAGGCCTGAACAGATGCCGTGTTGCAGGGGGTAGGGGAGCACAGTCAGCCTGCCCTCAGCATGCACAGCACCATCAGTGCTAGCCCCCACACAAGTGCAGTTCACAGAGACCCAGTGGACTTAAAGCCCACCTCGCTCTGGAAAAGTCTGCCGGGCATGCTGATGCTTGACTTCAGGTTGTGATGCTCTGAGTTCTCCTCAGCTAAGCATACAGTGCCTTCCCTACTGAGCAATGGCGAGGAGAGAGAAAGCCGCTTCGAGAAGGCACTCCCTGGACTCAGAGAACCCCCACCTTGGAATCACGGGCACAGCACAGGCAGTCACTTGGGAGCAGGCGCATTATCTACTTCTCTGCCTCAGCTCCGAAGGAGTGCTCCCCAACCCGGAGTGCTCCTTCCATTGCCAGATGCCAATGGCTCCCCAAGCCCCCATTTATGTAGAATCTGTCCTTGGTCTCACTTGGTTCCCTCACAGGCTCCTCCGTTAGGCATTTCAGAGTTATGGGATCTCTCGATGAATGGACCAACTTCACCCTTTTCAATAATTAAACGGTGCCTCAGTTCATCTTTCAACATAAAATTTATATACCGACACTTATTAAGTATTAAAATTACTCTTCCTTCAATGCACTGCACAGCCTTCTTCTAACAGTCAAGCAGTCTGCTGGCTTCTCTGATTAATTCTCGATTTTTAGCAGCTTTTGCTAGTGAACTGGGTAATCTCCATCAGGAATGCATGGCACGTGCAGAGAAGAAAGTGAGTTAGCATTATGAATGGCATGTCATTGTGCTATGCAGCGGTTACATAAATGCTCTGGGTGCTCAGCCAGGGCTGGGCCTCTTCCTCATCACACAGGAACATGAAAGACAGGGCTTGTCAAAGAAACTCAACAGGAACGACTTTCCTCCCCACAGCAGCTCACAGGCTTATGAGAGCTTAGCCCGGTGTGCCCTTGAGCTGCCTGACCCTGGAGTCCCGCCGCAGGTGTGCTGTGTGCAGGCTCCGGGCCAGGAGCGCCCTGCCCAGAGCCCTCACATACCAGCAGGAGGTGGAATTAAATAATTGAGCAGCGCTCAACAGTGCTCCCAGGCTCCTCCACAAGGGAGGGGCAGCCGAGTTAGCAGGCTCTTCACCAGGATGTCTGCACCTGCCGAGCCTGTCAGGGGGCATCAAATCTCAAGAGTCTAGAGATCACACATTGGCCCACCCTGCCACCTCTGCTAAAGCCTAAGCCCGAATGCCACTCCAGCAGACTGAGAAAACACCTGTCAGTGGGCATCTCTTCAAAGACAAGACTCCATCACGGGCTGTGAGAAGTGGTGGGACCTGACAGGGGCACTGCACCGAAGTAACGTGAAGTCACAACCGGAAGAACTGAGGAAGACTTGGAGGGGGTGGTGAATAAGAATCAGTCTTTAATTCCTCATTGCTGGCAGAGCATTACAAATTGTGAGGAAGCTGCCGAGACCAGTTTGGCTCAGTGGATAGAGCGTCAGCCTGCGGATTGAAAGGTCCCAGGTTCGATTCCAGTCAATGGCATGTACCTTGGTTCGGGCACATCCCCAGTAGGTGGTGTGCAAGAGGCAGCTGATCAATGATTCTCTCTCATCGATGTTTCTAACTCTCTATCCCTCTCCCTTCCTCTCTGTAAAAAATCAATAAAATATGTTGTTTTTTTTAATTGTGAGGAAGCATGGAAGATGACATCCAAGTCCCAGAGTAGCTGAGGATTTTAAGCTGTCAGACTAAGGCAACAACGGTGACGCAGTCTGGTGGGACCCTTTCAAGAGTCCAGCTCCAAGGCCCCCCACTCCCAGGCCTGGGCTCTGGGTCCTGAGCTGGTGGCCCGGGCTGGCTGGCTGTGACTGCTGCCGAGAGCTCAGAACACGGAGAGGCTATCCGAGCCAAGAGGGTGGAGACAGAGAAATCCTCTGGAGCCTTACAGAAGAATCTTGGAAATTCCGTTGTTTTCTGAAGATCAAGAATTAAACCTATTCAGCCCCAGGCTGTCCCTCCTACCAACCTTCCATTTTCTTCTTGGAAGTCCAGGAGGGACTGCAGCAGAGCTCGGCACAAGCAGCGTGTCAGTGCCCAGAAACACGGTCTTGAGTCACCCGATGCCTCTCTGTTCTGATGCTGGTCCACGCATTCCAGGATCAGGACCCCACCCAACCAGCCTCCCGAGAGGAGCCTCCGCAGATGGTCTGCCAGATGACCCTGTGGGCCAAGGCGCCGCCAGGAGCAAACAGCTAACGGGAGGGCTTTGTCAGGGAGGGAGAAGGGCAGGAGGCCTAGGCTTTGATGAGCTGCTCAGTGTGGGTAGTGCCTGATCAATGAGCTTCCTGTGCTGCACCTGGAGTGAAGGAATCCCTGGCACGCACCAGCCTTTAGACCACATGTGTCAAACACAAGGCCCGAGGGCCAAATCCGTCCCGCCAGGCCTTGCAATGTGGCCCGCACCGCGCTGTCATCACTGCACTCCGCTGCGTTTCCATCACAATGACAGTTTATGACTGTTCAGTAAACCATTCGGCCTGCGATTTAGGCTGGATTTTAGATTTTGGCCCCTTCTCTGATTGAGTTCGACCCCTACTTAGACGGAGGGTTGTCTTCCTCGGCTAACTCTGAGTCTGCAAGTCATGCATCCTACACATCGGCCGTGCTCTCTCCCTGTGAGATGTCAAACTAGATCGTGCCTGCCTGCAAGGGTGCTGATTAGACATCCAGGGAGAACAGACCACTACCCTGTTCAATACGGACCTCAACTGAGGACCATGCGGCATGGCTTGCCTCGGAAGCAGCCCGGATGGGAAACAATGTGCAGGAAATCACCTCCGTTAGGTGCAATCTACTGTTCTGACTCATTAAAAAGGCACCCGTGGTCTGAAGGCAAGGTTTCCGAGGGCCTGCATCTGCAGACTGGAAGGACCAGCCCCCATCTGGGCTAAGTCCCGAAAAACCAGCTGATGAGACTGATCTCCAGTCACACATCAACAGACTATGCTGTCCGCCACACAAACCAGAGCTGGCCCGAAGATGTCTGCCGTGATGAAAGCATCAGAAACTGGCAGGAGGCCTTTGGTCAAAGACTTTACCACATGCAAAAGAACAGGCAAGAACATTAACTATACATACATGTGTATACACTACATACACTTGTATGGATGGCACAAATGAATGGCTAAAAAGATTAAGAGGAGGGGACTAGCCCTAGCAGACATTAAAACATTATAAAGCACTACACATTAAAAGTCTGGTATTGGCACATGTACAGAAAGACCAATGGAAGAAGAGCAAGAGGTCAACAGACCTAAATATATATGTAAACTTGGTGTAGGTCGAATATGTAGGAAAAGATGAACTTAGTAAAAGGCATAGGAATCATTCAAAATGTGACACATGCATGTTAAATGTAACAAGATATCAGCTTTACCAATCAGAGAGATGTTTCTACAAGTCTGCTAGCGTGCTCTGAGGAGGGTGAGGAAAAGCATGCTCTCGTATACCCTGCTGTAAGAAAGCACATTTGTACAATCTCCCAGAAGGCAAGTGGGTGACATCCACACAAAGGTACATGCACACACCCTTCCACCAGTTCTAGCAACAGCTTGCATAAGCTCTGCTGTACTCAAAGTAGTACGTGCAGTGTTTCCCCAAACTGCGCTAGGTAAGACTGAAAACAACCTCACGGGCCACCAGCAGGGACTACTTAAACAAACGATGGCCAGCAGCTCGGCATCATCAGGGAGGAGGAGGCAGCTCTAAATGTGCCGCCATAAACATCTCCAAAGCGTATTCTCAGGTGAGGTGAGAAAAGCAAGATGCAGAACACTGCACTATGCATCGTTTATTTTTCAGATGTGAACACATATACATCAGGGAACTCTGGGGGAAACTGGTACAATGTTTGCCTCTGGGTAGGGTGCTAAGTTAGGAGACAAAATTTCTTTTCATTGTAATTCATTTTTTTCAAACCATGTGCATGTATTACATATAATTAAGAATACAAACACCATCTGGACCCACGCCAATTCATCTATCTACACCACATGTGTCAAACACAAGGCCCGAGGGTCAAATCCGTCCCGCCAGGCCTTGCAATGTGGCCCGCACCACGCTGTCATCACTGCACTCCGCTGCGTTTCCATCACAATGACAGTTTATGACTGTTCAGTAAACCATTCGGCCCGCGATTTAGGCTGGATTTTAGATTTTGGCCCCTTCTCTGATTGAGTTCGACACCCCTAATCTACACCCTCAACGACTGAGCGGACTATGGGGTTGCAGACTAGTTCCATCCATTAATCTTGAGCAAGAAATGTCATCCCTCTGACCAGCCATTCATAATGCAAAAAAGCAGATTACAGCAATACCTGTCCGGAAGACTGAGTAAGAGATGAAATGCCCCAGCACAGCAGGAATTCGTTAAGTGTTCATTCCTCTCTTCCCTGGGTGGACTCTTAAGAACTCTTTGTATGAAGATGACAAACCATCTTGTACATCAACCTCTTTACTAAACTAGTCCGTGTTTGGAAATCTACAGGTATGTGACCCCGTTTTTGTATAAGAACCGTGTCTAGACACACACATGATGTTCTCCATAGAAAGAAGGCTGTGGACCAGACTTATTTTGGGGAGTGTCTATTAAGGTGGCTTTTGATTTTTAAAACATCCATCTTTATCTAAACTTTCCTCACTGAGGATAAATTACCATCATAGGAGGTTTGTTACAAAAGAGCCTTAATGTAAAAGGTATGTACGAATCCCGATAGATATTCCACTTATCTTAGGAAACTGCTAACTGCCAACAGTCCAGCAGGAGCATGAGAGAACCACACCAGCCCTTATAGTAACATGTGATTGGTCCTCAATAGAGTCTTTCATAGGGCTAATAAACTGATACCTGTTTACTTGAAAGCTTCTTCAAATCCCTTCTTGGTTGAGTTTTGTTGCAATAACTATCAACCCAGCCATCAGGCCCTCTGGGTTCTCCTGGCCAAATAACCCTCTCCCCTGCCCGTCAGCGCCCCCTCGGGGCCCACCTTGCCATCGGAAGCTGTGTTGATCCTGTAGTGGTACACCCTGCCTTCGTATCGCAGCGAGATGGACCTCTGCCCGGGGCTGCTCTCGCTCTCCCGCACCAGGAAGCTGCCGTTGATGCCGCTGCTCAGCAGGTACTCGGCAGCGTTGCGGGACACGGGCCCGTGGTACCAGGAGTGTTTCTCCAGGCTGTTGACGGGTGTGATGTAGTTGCTTGGGACCCACCCTTGGCCATTTTTGGTTTGGGCTTCACACCATTCCCCATTGTGATTGTAGCCTAAAACCCGGAGCTTTTCACCTTAGAAGAAGAGAAGCAAATCAGACACATCAGCTTCATAGGCAAATTAGCTCATTCTCACTTAATGTTATATGATTACTAAAAATCTCCAAATTCCTACATACCTATTTCATTTCAACAAGTCCACATAAATGTATGCATTCTAAGTGTATAAGAGCACATTTTATATGAAGTTTCCTGTTTGTACTGAAAACTGAGATAAACATAAAGCCTCAGATTTCAGAGCTCTATTATGTTTTGTTTACTCAAGTGCCCTAAAACAAGAAGCTTTTTAGGAAGAAAAAAAAAAAAAAAAAACACCCTTTTTTTTTTTTTTTTTTTTTTTTAAGTGTTTTGCCGGGTTGTTGTGACTCAGCAGTTGAGCACTGACCAGGAACCAAAAGGTCACTGGTTCAATTCCAGGTCAGGGCACATAAAAGGTTTTCAAGCTCCATCCTCAATAGGGGATGTGCAGGAGGCAGCTGATCAATGATTCTCTCTCATCACTGATGTTCCTATCTATCACTCTCTCTCCCTTCCTCTCTGAAATCAATAAAAACTTTTTTTAAGTGTTTTTCTGTGTCTGATCCGCCTTTTTCAGTATAGAAGAAGGCAAGATCTTTTGTGAAGAACTACTACACTAGAACTCCTCTCAAGAGAAGTGCCTCTTTTTTGGATATCTCGGCATTCCAAACTTTAAATCTGCTCTTTTAATCAGCAAAGGGTTGAACAATCAAGCCACAATTTCACCCAATTTCTGGCTCTTGCAACTACCACCTCTACCCACAGGCCTTTACCTTTAGTGATACTGAGAGTGTTGTCCCCACTGGCCACAAAATCATACAGTGCAACAAAGAGGTTGGGGTCATTTTCACTGGGACCAGCGAGAAGGTTTTCCTTGGAGTTCCAACGAGCTGCTTCGCTCAGACCTTGGGGCTCGAAGTCAGATGCTACTGGCCTTTGGAGGGCTTCTGGAAGAGAAATAGGGAATAGAATAAATTTTAAAAAATAATTAAGGAAAAATTAATTTTATTCTCATGAGCAAAAAAATATATAAAAATCTGTTATTTCCAAAATTATACATTCCTAATTTATTTTGTTTCTTAAAGTAAGAAACACCTGTGCACTTCACATGTTAAAAGAAAGGTGGTGTAAAGAATGGACTCTTCCTTTCCCAAATCTTGTGAAAAACACTAAGTATTTGCATCCAAGGTGGAGTTCCCAAGTAGCTTCAGCCATTTAAATGCACTAATTCAAAACGAACTGGAAATAATCCATCCTCATAAGTCTGCTGCTTATGCTTTAGTATGGAGGGCAAGTTTCTTGCTTTAAAACGTTCTTAAGTTTACAAACATATGCACAAACATATTTAAAATCAAATATTACAGAAGGGCTTATAATGAAAAACAAACATTTTCTATCCACTCTCCTTTACGCCTGGAGGCAACGGCTCTTTTTCTGGTCATCGTTTCCATCTCCCTAAACGTAAGCTGCTTCACTAGAACCTGCGTCCCCGCCCCACCTCTTCTGCGCTAGCCACTACTGTTAGCTTTGTATTTCCAGTATTTGCACCTTTCTTTCTTTTCCTACCAGCTAGAGACAGTGTCCTCCACTATCTACTTGGTAAGCTATGCTAACACCCCCGCCTTCCTTCCAGCTTCCCTCACTCTGTGCTCACTCTGCAAAGAGCCTTCTTTCCTCTTCCTTTACCCTGTGAAAGGCAGCGTGTCTTCTCTTCTGTAATAACACTCTCATGCTTTGTCTGCAGGTAGATTCTAAAGGTTGAAAACCAATAAACATCTCTTAATAGTTTACTATTAGTCACTACAGTCAAATAATTCATTATTTTCTCCTAAGTTTCTTCCTGCCTTTCTTTTTCTTGAAGTACACTCAACCGCTCTAGAATTCCTGTGATGATGACAACTATGCACAAGGGTTCTTTGAAACCAGCAAATCTACTCCAAGTGGATCTTAACAGTTGTAAGGATATTATGAAATGAAATATGAATACTCATTTAAGGAAACAACAATAAGAAATCAAACTTAAAGGGGGGGGGGGGGGATTCCAATTTGAAAGAAAGATCTACCACATACTTAAGCCATACCCAAATGGTAACAAAACAAAACCATTTTCATTTCCTCTCTTTATGGATTTAGAAGACATCCAATACCTTTTCTTGGGCAATAACACCCATCTTGAGAATAGGCCTGTCCTAGCTGGTTTGGCTCGGTGGATAGAGCGGCAGCCTGCAGACTGAATTCAGGGTCCTGGGTTCAATTCCGCTAAAGGTCACATCTCTCTGTTGCGGGCTCAATCCCTGGCCCTAGTTAGGGAAGGGGTGGGAGGTAACCAATCAATGTGTCTCTCTCACAATGATGTTTCTCTTTCTTTGTCTCTCCCCCTCCCTTCCACTCTTTCTAGAAATCAATGGAAGAATATCCCCAAGTGAGGATTGAGAACAACAAAAATAAGAATAGGCATTGATTCTTCAGCATTCACTTAAAAACAAAACAAAAACCCTCTGGAGGCACCCAGGACATCTAAAGGGACTAAGCTAAACTTCCAGAAACATGACTGGAGAACTTTCAAAACTGAACATTCTTTAATAACTCTCTGGAATAACCCAACAGAATGTAAACGAAGGCCTTTCAATTCTAGCTTTTGTATACAGACTGAAGTAAACCTTCAGGAATTTTCCTAAAAGAATGCACCCCAAGTTATGTCATTACTATGCTTGGTAATTTCATCTTATGAACCACAGGGACACATCATTTAAAGGAAGAGGTCTGGATGTGGAAAAGGCTCAGTGAAGTGTGAGGCGCAGGTGTGACCTGCTGAGTGTTTACACTGGCTCTAAAAGTGTGTTTAGTGCCATCGTGATGAGGGGTTGATCAATGAACAACAAAAAGCTCATTAAAGCAGGGAATTATTATTTTTTATTAAAATATGTGACCTCCACTCCCGACTGGAATATGCATCAGTTTGCTTGTCTTGGCTACAGGGCCAAGGCCCAGCCTTTCTGTGTGGATGTGCACTCAGAGTTGGGAGCTGTCTTCTTCGGTACGTCCTTCCTGCAATGCACCGCCTCACCTCCGCTCACTGTCCTGCAGGCGGAGGGAGAACTCAGAGCCATTCACTATGTACCCAGTACATCCCTTCCAATTTCCCGCCGGCGCCTTACTCGCCTTGCTTCTAGTCCAGTAGCAATTTTATAAAAGTGACCCGCCTTTACTGAGTCTGTCTACTCTAAAGCATTCATTTTCATAGAAAGAATTACCGTTTCACATTTGGATTTCACTGGTTTCATATTAACCAAGTAATTGAAACAACAAGTATCTAAACAACAACAACAACAAAACAGTTCAGAAACACAACTGGCTTTGGTGTGGCTGCAACTCCAGGGATTGCAGTGCTCCCAGCAGACATTGGGGCATGACAGTCTTGTATCTGTGCCATGGCAAGGGTAGTTGAGTGCAATGGTCAATTCAGCAAGTCAGTTAAGTGGAAGCAAAAAGAACGTCTACCATCCTATAATAAAAGGGTAATATGTAAATCAATCCAACAGCAGAACGACTGGTTGCTATGATGCGCACTGACCACCAGGGGGCAGACGCTCAACACAGGAGATGACCCCGGTGGTCGGTGCGCTCCCACAGGGGGAGTGCCGCTCAGCCAGAAGACCAGAAGCCGGGCTCACAGCTGGCAAGTGCCACAGGGATCATGGAAGCCTCTCCCGCCTCCAAGGCCGTCAGACACCCCCCAAGGGCTTCCGACTGTGAGGGGCACAGGCGGGCTGAAGAACCCCTCCCGAGTGCACGAATTTCATGCACAGGGCCTCTAGTCATTATATTAAGTAAATTAGACAAAGGATGATTCTTACCACAAAAGAACTTTTGCATATCAAAAGAATAAGACAAATCCCTCCACTATGGAAAAATAGACCAAAACCATGAATAAGCAACCAATGGACACAGACAGTAAGGGGGGAGGGCATGAAATGGGGAGTGGGAGTGGCTGGAGAGAGGTCAATGGGGGAAAAGGAGTCTTATGTAATATTCTAAACAATAAAGAATTTAAATTTAAAAAAAAAACATGAATAAGCAAGTCACAGAAAACAAGTTACCATTAAAATGGAAAGCGGGTTAACTCTCTAGTAGCCAAATCCTCCATTAAACTGGCTGGTACGTTTTCTTGAGGCTAACAGTGTGAGACTTCAGTGAAACAGGCACTCTCACGTTATGCTTGTACTTGGTGCAGAAACTGCTGTAACATTTTAGAAGGCCAATTGGAAATCTGAACCGAGTCTTTTATAAAATTCTGTAACATTTGTCCCACCTCTAGGAATTTATTCTACAAGAGCCATACAATGATCTATAGAGAGTGATTTTTAAATAGCAAAACATAAAAGTACAAAATATTTATCAACACAAGATAAGTTAGTTTGTGGTCCCATCCATAAAATAGAATCTTATAATAATATAAGCCTAATATATTGGGTCTAGTAATAATAAATGTCGTTTTTTAACATTCGTTTATCTTGCTTGGCGTTGACTTGTATTGACATAACCTTCAAACACGTGGTATCTACAGAACGTGTGAAGTGCAATTAACAAGTTTTGCTTGAAAAAGTTTGTGTTTGGTTTGGTTTTTGTTGCAAAACTAGGGCTAAGAAGATGGCGGATGAAGAGCATATTCGGCACTGCATGCTTTACGAGTTCCAAATAGGAAGAAAAGCAAGTGAGGCTGCAAAAAACATCTGTAGTGCTCTTGGTCAAGATGCAGTTAGCGCCAGAAAATGCCAGCGTTGGTTTGAGAAATTTCGCGAGGGAAATTTTTCGTTAGATGACAAGAGTGGTCGAGGCCGTGTGTCCAATTTTGATCAAGAAGCTCTTCAAGCTCTTTTGGTGCAAAATCCTCAAATTACCCAACAAGAGCTTGCGACAACTTTAAATTGTTCACAAAAAACAATTTCCAATCAATTGCGTGCACTTGGCAAAGTCCAAAAGTTTGGAAAATGGGTTCCTCATGAGTTGACCGACAACAACCGTAATCAAAGAGTCACAATTTGCAGTTCGCTCCTCTCTCGTCAAAACCGTTTGCCGTTTTTAGAGCAAATTGTTACCGGAGATGAAGAATGGGTGCTGTATGTTAATTTGAAAAGGCGACCTCAATGGTTGGACAAAAATGAGGCTCCGCAGCCCATGCCAAAACCTGACTTGCATGCGAAAAAAGTGATGTTGTGTGTTTGGTGGAATTTTAATGGAATTCTTCATTATGAACTTTTACCATCTAACCAAACCATTACAAGTGCAGTGTATAGTGCCCAATTGGAAAGGTTAGCCCAAGCTTTAAGAGAAAAAGAACCCGCGCTGATTAATCGGAAGGGCGTAATTCTTCACCACGATAATGCACGACCGCATACTGCAAGAATCACTGCTGAAAAACTGCGCCAGTTGGAATGGGAAGTTCTCCCTCAACCTGCATATTCTCCTGATATTGCCCCTTCCAATTACCATTTGTTTCTTTCTTTGCAAAACTTTCTTCTTGGAAAAAAATTTAATGAAGAATGCCTCAAAAATGCATTGACCGAATTTTTTGCATCAAAATCCCAAGAATTTTACAACAGAGGGATTAAAATGCTTCCTGAGCATTGGGCACAAGTAGTAGAAAACAACTGCAACTATATTGTTGATTAAATTTTGTTGTATTGTTTAAATAAATTCGATTTAAAGTATTAGAAAACGACATTAATTATTACTAGACCTAATAGTAGGTCCTTGGGTTACATCAGAGATCAGTTCCTACATTAGAGATCCGTTCCTAAGGCAAGACATAAGGCGATTTTCACAGTAAATTGGAATCCACCTACATAAGCACCTACGTCATCACATGGAGCACATACACAACAGTAATGAAGTGAAACTAAAATTTTTTTTAAAAGATAACAATTCCTGACCTTTACTTGTCATA